TACTGAAATTGGAGCTGGATACATGTTTTTCTGGAGTGGCTGCAGTGAAGGGGAATGCCATGAAGCTGGTGTAGGCATTGCAATCAAACTAACCTAGTCAACAAGCTTGTATGCTTACCAAAAGGAGTGAATGACATGCTCATGACAATGTGATCACTACTTGCAGGAAAATGCCATGCCACCATCATCAGTACCTATGATGCCACCATGACAAACCCTGATAAGGCCAAAGAAAAATTGTATGAAGATTTGGAGATCCTCATTATCAATGTGCCAAAAGAGGACAAGCTTATGATTCTGGGAGACTTTAAGGGTAGAGTAGGCTCAGACTACCAGACATGGCCTGGAGTTCTAGGGAGGAATGGAAATTGGAAACAGCAACAGCAATGGTCACTTACTATGGAAGACCTGTGCATCTCATGACCTTCTCATCACTAATACTGTCTTTCATTTACCTAAATGCAATAAAACTATGTGGATGTACCCTTGAAGCAAACATTGGTATTTAATAGACTATGTAATTGTAAGAAGAGGCAAGATGTGAGCATAACAAAGGCAATGTGTGGTGCAGAGTGTTGGACTGCTAATTGACTTATCCTTTCTAAGCTAAATACTCACATTAAACAAAAGCAGTGGCCCCAAGGCAAAATGACTACCAGAAGGCTTAATATCAACAGATTAGAGTGATCCTTTGAGTAGGAACAGTTTGTTGGTAACTTGGAGGGAAAGTTGAGTCAGCACACTGTTGGCAACAGTGGAGTAGAAAAGGAGTGGGCAACTTTCAGAGATTTAGTGTATAGCACTGCATTTGCTCATCTGGGTCAGAACACTCACAAACATCAAGACTGGTTTGACAAAAATGATGGGGAAATTCAGAAGCTGCTAAATGAAAAATGAGATGTGCACAGGGTTTATTAGCAGGATAGTTGATCCATGTCTAAGAAGGCAGCATTTAACTTCATCAAAAATAAAGTGCAAGCAAAGCTTAGAGAGATGCAGGATTCTTGGCTCAGTAAGATGGCAGATGAAATTTAGTTTTATACTGATAGTAACAATCCAAAGTGCTTTTATGTATGATGCCCTGAAAGCTATTTGTGGACCAAAGACCTATGGTGCATTGCAACTACTCAGTGCTGGTGGAGCCTTATTAATTAGTGATAAGGACATCGTCCTAAAAGGAGAGGCTGAACACCTCTCAACACACCATCAGCATTGATTAATGCTGAAGCCATTGATGGTTTACCTCAGGTTGAAGTCAGTCCCTCCCTAGCTGAAGTTCCAACTGAAGAAGAATTGAATGGCATCAGGCTCCTTTTGTGTAGCAAAGCACCTGGTACTGATTCTATTCCTGCTGAGATTTATAACATGAGGGGTCCATTGCTCATACAAAAGCTGACTGAAATTTCTAGATTATATGGCAGGAGGAGGTTATCCCCCAGGAGTTCAAGGATGCCTTCATTGTCCATCTTTATAAAGGTAAAGGAAATAAATTTTTCTGTGACAATCACAGGGGGTCTCTGTCTTGGTCATTGCTGGCAAGATTCTTGCCAGGGTCCTCCTTAATAGGCTGATTCTTCACCTGGAAGATGCTCTTCTACCTGAGAACCAGTGTGGCTTCAAAAAGGGCAGAGGAACAGTTGATATGGTGTTTGCTGCCCGACAACTCCAGGAGAAATGCCAAGAGCAAAATAGAGGTCTGTACACAAAGTTTGTAGATCTAATCAAGACTTTGATACTGTCAGTTGCAAGGGCTTATGGAAGGATAATTGTGTCAAAATTTGGTTACCCAGAGAAGTTCATCAGTATTGTATGTCAATTTTACAATGGCATGATTGCCCAGGTTCTGGATAATGGACAATGCTCTCATGCTTTCCCAGTCACCAATGGAGTGAAACAAGGCTGTGTGCTTGCCCCCATGCTTTTCAGCATGATGTTTTCAGCCATGATGCCAAACACCTTCAGTGAGGACGAACATGGCATCAAGGTCAGCTACTGCACTAATGGTAAATTCTTCAACTTGAAAAGGCTGCAAGCCAAGACCAAAGTGGAGGGACTGTTGGTACATGATTTTTCATTCACAGATGATTCCATGCAGCCTCTGAAGCTGAGATGCAGCAAAGCATGGATTGTTTCTCTGCTGCTTGTGCTAATTTTGGCTTAACAATTAACATCAAGAAAACACAACAAGTACTCCATCAGCCTGCACCACACCATCCATATGTGGAACCGTCGGTTACAGCAAATGGAGAAGTTCTGAATGCTATAGACAAGTTCACTTACCTTGGCATGTACACACTTATGAGGTTGACATACACATTGCCAGAGATAGCTCAGTGTTTGGGAGGCTCTGTAGGAAAGGGTGGGAGAGAAAAAGTATTAGACTGAGTACCAAACGGAAGTTCTAAAGAGCTGTTGTGCTGACCTCATCGTTGTATGCCTGTGAAACCTGGACAGCATACCAGCGCCATGCCAGGAAACTGAATTGCTTCCATTTGAATTGTCTTAGGACAATTCTGAAGATCACCTGGCAGTTTAAGATACTAGACACTGAGGTTATTTCTCTAACTAAATTGCCAAGCATTCAAACTCTACCGTGGAGAGCACACTTATGATGGACCGGCCACATTGTTTGAATGCCAAATGTATGCTTGCCCGAAAGACTATTTTATAGAGAACTCACACAGGGCAAGTACTGACATGGTGGTCAGAAGAAGCAATACAAGGACACTCCCAAGGTCTCTCTGAAGAACTTTGGAATTAAATGTGTGACATGGGAGACATTGGCACAAACCAGCATGGTGTGCCCTCATCAGAGAAGGTGCTGTGCTCTGTGAACAAAGCAGAATTGAAGTAGCTCAAAAGAAACACGAGACGCGCAAATTTAGAGAATCCACCCCAAATGTTCACAGGGACTATTTGTGCCTGACCTGTGGCAGAGCATTCAGAACTCATATTGGTCTAATCACCCACAATCAGTTCCACTTTAACCTGAATCTAGCATAGTGGTGTCATTTTGGTCCTCTTTGAGAAATAAGGACAACATCCTAATGCCAGGGGTGGGAAACTTGTTGCTGCAGGCTCCACCCCTGACCTAAGCTATACACATATATGTATGTATACACATACACACACACACACACATATGCACACACACATATATATTTTATCGATGACTTAGGCAAAGTCATAGGTGGCATGATGAGAAGCTGGGAGGGTTAGTTAGCATGCTAGGTGAAAGAGACAGTTTCCAAAAAGATTCTACAACAACTAAAATGATGCAGTAAATTTAAAATAGATGCAAATTAATAGGGATAAATTTAAAGTCCTACACTTGAGTCCAAGAAATCACCTTCACAAAGTAAATTATAGCTAGATACTAGTTCACAAAAAAAAAATCTGGGGATGGATTTGGACACAACTCAATATGTCAACAGTGTGATATCAAAGCTAAAAAAAATGAAAGTGACTTTAAACTTCGTTAAAAGAGTCATAATGGCTAGTACACAGCAGTGATAGTATCTGCACCATTCACGTCATATATAGCACTTTAAATGCTAAACTTTAAGAGTACTATTGACAAGCTGGAACACATCTAGAAGATGGCATCCAGTTTAGTGAGGTCCTTAAGACCATGCCATTTGTGAATCAATTAAAAGAACTGGGGTTATTTAGCCTGAGAACAGAAGACTGAGAAAGAACGTGACTAAATTTCTTGGATTATTTGAAGGGCTGCCATGTGGAAGAGAAATTCAGCCAATCACCAAGCATTTATTAAGCACCTACTATGTGCAAGGCATTGTGCTAAACACTGAGTTAAATTAGACTTTTTTCTATTAGGATCCAAGTATAGAACCTGTAACAAGGCAGAAAAGATTGATTTAGGGGAAAATTTACTAGCAATTAGAATTATCCAAAAGTGAAATGGTGTCACAGGCCTGTTTGAACTCACACTCTGACATTTTGGCACTTCCTTCCTCCCTTCTCTGATGCTGAATTTATATAGCACATCAATGCTCCATTCAGCTTTAGCATCCATCAGCATTCTGTCATCACTATTCGCAGATGCTGGATTTGGTCCACGGAGATGCCACAAGGCTCTAGTAGACATTTAATCTTGTGTAATGGGTATCCCACTCAACTATGGAATCATAATGTTGTTTGAATTCAAAGTGGAGGTATTTTTGACCTGAGCCCTTATCCAGTGAACTTTCTAACAAATGACAATCTAGGAGCTGTAAACTGATGATCAAAGTATTTAAATGAGATGGAATAGCAAAGTAAATTTCAGGGAACAAAAATCATTCTCAGCACTCCTGCCCCTTCTATTCACAAGACACGATCTCCCACACATTCCTACACTGGTCTAGTTGGTAAGAGAAACTAAGGCTCTGAGATAAGAAAGGGTTTCTGAGAGGTTTGGAGACAGAGGACATGGCTTTTAAACCTGCTTCTGCCACAGACTAAAATTGTGAACTTGTGCAAGCAATTTAGTTTTTCGAGGCTTCAGTTTTGTCATTTGTAATGTAAGGGGTTGGACTAGACAACCTCGAAGATCCCTTTTAGCTCTAAATCAATGGTTCTAAATAATTCAATAGAATCTGCCTTGTGTTACAGCTAGAAAACTTTTGTTAGCGTCTGCATGTCTCCGAGACCTCCAGTAGCTTTTTGACATGATCCAAGAACTGAACTGAAGCTCTGCCCCATATCCACACTCTTCTGGGCTAGGAAATGCCACTCAGCTGCTGTTACTGGCCACCACAGCTGTCATCTGCTGAGTTTTACCCTCAGCTGTGCTAAGTTGTTATAGTTGTCATCTGCTAAAGCTACACTGCATGACTTATGTTCTCTGCCCTCCAGGTCCCTTCGATAATGCTCTGTGAGCTGCCATTTGCTGAGACTTCACCCAACTCTTGGTTCCCGACACTGCTGCTGCCTTGAGCAATTGTTATTTCAAGGAACCACCCAGGTCATATGCTTCTGGCTAGTCCACAAGTTCTATTTTAAATAGCCCCACACTCTCTATTCAACTAGGATAAAAGGGGCCCTTGGGCAGCTATAAGGCTTCACTGATTTCCTCTTTCCAAAGGTAAGTCCTTAGCTCTTAGTCCTAGCCAAGTGAGAGAGAATTAATTCTTTTCACCTCTACCCTCAGAATGCAAATAGCCTAGGGCAAAACTTGAGCACACCCACACCCACACCCACACATCCCCACCCTCCCCACACACATACACACACACACACACACACACACACACACACACACACACACACACTCTCTCTCTCTCTCTCTCTCTCTCTCTCTCTCTCTCTCTCTCTCCTTCTTATTTGGCCTTTCAATTCCCATGCATGATAAAACTTAAAAAGACAAAATGGCACTGGAAACACCAGAGGGACAGGGCACAAGATGCCAATCTCTTCTGGGAAAACCCTTACTCTAAATTATTCTTGCCAGTCAGCAGCAGAGGCTGGAGGTAGGAAGGAGGGGGTGCCCAAATGATATCCCCTAATTCTCAATTTTTCCATGCTCCCACAAATCAAAACTCACTTTAAGGGTGAACTTAACACTCGGTATTTCTGAATTTAGACACACCCCCAAAATTGCTAGGACATCCTGGAGCCAGCCAAATGCTGAGGACTGACACCTATACAAATACGCTGACCCATTCTACTTGTTCATCTGAAAGGGGGAAAGTCATCAAAAACTTGGAGCAAAAATGATGGACCTTATTATCAAAGAAAGTTGTCTGACAGACATATTTGCTTTTTTCAATCAATTTAACTACTTTTCTTTGCTACAAGGGAGGGTTCATGAATGTGCTATGCATATCAAACAATGACTATTGTAAAAAAGAAAAATGTTTTTAAAAGAAAAAAAAAGATGAGATACCTGCTGAAATAATCTTCCTAAAACATAGGTTTTGATCATATTATTTCCTTTTTCGGTAATATTGTGTGCTGCCCTATTGCTCCTAGGATACATTACAAATTCCTTGGCATTTAAAATCTTTCACCATGTGACTATAATCTATCTTTCCAGACTAATTTCTAGGTTACTCCCCTTTGCAGCCTCTACATGCCACCCAATTCTCTGGACTTGGTATTCTGTGCATTTACCTCCCAGTATTGTTGTGAGGATCAAAGGAGGTAATAATTGTAAAGTACTTAGCACAGTGCCTGGAATATAGTAAGCTTTATTTAAATGTTAGCTATTATTGTTTTTATTATTATCTTCCTTCAAGATTCAATCTCCGTACCTTCTCCTAAGAGAAACCTTTTCTTATTCTCATCATTATTAGGACTCTCTACCCCCTCAAATTACCCTGTTTTTACCCATCACTATAAATGTTTCATTTTTCTAGCACAGTGTAAGCTTCTTGAGGGCAGAACTGTTTTGTGAATTTCTCTTTGTATTCTTAGAGCTTCTACTCTGCCTTATACTGCGAAGGCACTTAATGAATGATTTTTGAATGAATGACCCACATGTCTACTTTCCCAGCTGTACAAAATCTTTTTGAGAGCAATCTACTCTACAATGCTTCAAAGGTGTCCTCAGTAAAGGTGTACTAAAGGAGTCTGACTGATGGGAGCCCTGCCCTGATGAGCATGCTTCTGGAAGTGTGTGGTCATGTTACAATGGAGGAGGCCTGGCTCTCTGCATATGGGTGTCCCAAAAGTCTTAGTGCAGCTTCAAGTTAGTAAAGCTGTTAAAGCTTACAGCTGTATTGAGACTTTTGGGATGCCCTATACTTCACAGAATGTGCAAGTATTCTTTCCCCGTTTCCTGTCTATTTATCATGTTTTTGAAGGGGAAAAAAAGGCCTTTTGGTTGGCTGCTGAGCTGAAACTGAGAATGCATACAAAAGGCCCCAGTGGAGAAAATCTCTCTCTTTCTCTCTCTTTCCTTCTTGCTGGCCACAAGTTGTAAGGACATATCTGAGCTCCAGAGGGCTGGCGCCGGATATTCAATAATTCTGTCCAGAAGTGCCCGCTGGAGTCAGATGATGAAGGGCTTTAAAAGACAAATAGGAGAGCTTATGTTTTATCTTAGAAGCAGTAGAAAGCCACTGGAACTTCTTGAAGTAGGGAGTGAAATAGTCAGACTTGGGCCTCAGGAATATCAATTTGGAGGATGGATTTGAAAGGTGAGAAACTTCTGTCTAGGAAACCAATTAAGGGGCCATTTTAATAGGAGAGGTGAGAGGTAATGATAATTTGAATTAGGTTTGTGGCCAATCCTAGTATTGTGAAAGGAAAGAATGGAATGTATAGAAGATATTTTGTGGAGACAGATCGATGAGAATTGGCAACTTATTCAATATGGCCAGGGGTTGGGGGATGGGGGTAGAATAGAGAATGATGATTCAAGGATGCCTCTGAAGCTCTAAATCTGGTGCCTAGAAGGATGGTGGTACCCTGTGAGAGGAAAAGAGGCTGATCACAGAATGTGAGGCATCACTGAGGGGCAGCCCAGTTGCTCCATTCCTACTCATGTGATCTTAGGAAATTTAGAGGAAGGCCCTCAGCATATTGGTGCGTTCTCAGCGGAAGATTTACAGGAAGACATGAAGGTGGGGATAGGTTGTAATCTGCACCAATAGAGGGAGCACTTCCACAGATGAGATCATAGAAGTATGGAAGTAAATACTCTCTAGACATACTACAACTAATGCACTGTTTATTCAAAAGGTCAGCCAACATTCAACAGTTTAAGATCAAGTACTTTCTATGTGCCAGTCACTGAGTTTAAAAGTTATATTAACTTTTAAAAATGTTGCAGTCCAGATAACTCTCTAAAAACATACCCCAGCTCACAGTTCTACCAGCAGTGTATGAGCATACTTGTTTGTTCCTGGCTCGTGGCAAGAATGACCTTGATACTGAGCCAGCTTACTCTGAAGCAGAGGTTCAAGACTCAGGTTTATTGTGTTGGTGGAGCTATAAACATGAGTAAGTGAGAGCAAGCAGGTAATCTTAGAAAAGAGGGGTAAAGAGGCAAGGAAGAAGGGACAACCTGGTATAGTGGATAGAGCACTGGACCTGGAATTTTATGAATTGGGTTTAAATACTGCCTCACACTCATATAAACTGTGTGACCTTGAGAAAATCATTCAACCTCTTTTTACCTCAGTCTTCTCATCTGTAAAATGCAACAGTTGGATTTGATAGCCTCTAAGGTCCCTTCAAGCTCTAAATCTTTGAACCAAGGAGTTCAGTAATTTTACACCATCAAAATACCTACTTTTCACTGAAAAATTTTAATTTCATGCTGAGGCATGAAATTAAAGCACCCTTTACTTTTTTGGGGCCATATAACTATATCTAACTGCTTTCATATTAATAGCTAACATTTATCTAGGCTTTAAGGTTGACAACATACTTTGTATGATTTATCTCATCTGATCCTCATAACAGCCCTGGAAGGAATTTCTAAGGGTTTTGGAATAGAGATGAGTGTAGAGAGGTCTACCAGTTGAGGAAACTCTTTTTAATTTATCTGCAACTTATAGTCTTAAGGAGGAGCTGCCTGGGGTACTCAGAGGTTAAGTGACTTGTCAGGGTCACACAGCCAGCATATATCCATTAGGGCTTGAATTCAGGTCTTCTTGGCCCAGAGGCTGGCTCTCAATCCATTACACCCTGGCAATTCTTTTTCTACAGGTGTTATAATTTCCATTTTATAGATAAGGAAACTGAAGTTTAGAGAGTTTATTAACTTATTCATGGTCTCATAGCTAGCAAGTATAAGAGGTCAGATTCCAAACCTGTTCTCTCACACAGGATCAGAGATCTAAATTTGGGATATCATCCATTCCAATCCCCTCATTTGCAACTGAGGAAACTGAGACCCAGGTTAAGTGACTTGACATGTGCACTTGGAGAAATGAAATTCTTCAGAATTGTAAGTAAGGTAACCTTTCCATTATTCCACATTCTCTTCTTTATTATTATTTTTCACTATTATTACCTGAATATTCAAGTTAATTGGTTGTTTACTAAATAGTCTGATTTAGCAGAATGAAAAGTATTTGTCTGGTAGAAAGAAATGTCAGAAACCTAGTAAACAATGAATGCAGGGAACAATATATCAATATAATTGTCAGGTAAGTAGAGATGAAAAAAGCAATATCCCTTAGTCAATGTAACTGATAAATTCCTAAAAGAAAATAACTTTCATATGGCTGGATTAAAAAGGGCAAATACTGTAATAGTAATAATACTTTTCATCTATTGTATATAGTACTCCATAGTTTGTCAGTAAGGTAGTGTGATGTAGTGGCCAGAATTCTGAATTTGAGTTAGGAAAACCCAAGTTCAAGTATCTCCTTCTCCCTTCTGCCACTGTGTTACCACCCAATCTCTTTCAGCCTCAGTTTCCTAATCTTTAAAATGGCAATCATACTACATTCTTATAGGGGCTATGAGGATTAATCAGTACAATGCTTATAAAGTGCTACATAAATGATAGCCATTAGTATACAAAGATGATATCTGCATATGTGAGGGTAGGGATTTTTTCCCTTATCTTCTGGATGATTGGAATCATGGAGACACAGTCAAAGTCAATGACTAAAACATCAGCAGTTTCTTATTGAGCATATACCACACATTTAACTCCTTCAAAAAGGAAGGAGGAAATGAGTGGTAACAGTCATCAAAGGAAGTAAGTATAGCAAATCACACAAAAGAAAAAAAAATGAACAGCCAAAAAAGAAATAGAAAGTCGGCCAAGTCAGGAAGGGAAGGGAAACAGCTGTTCTTCTAAATATAATTACAACAGTTACAACAGTTAAAGATATCACTTTATTGTTATTGCATTGGTTCTGAACCATAGTTACATATATTCTGAGTCATGTGGTCATCCTCACTTACTCATTCTCTCCATTTCTTTTCTTTACTCCTTCCTTGCCAGGATCTATTGAAGCACAAGGACCATAGACAGCCATTCATGAGGAGTTTATTCTATCACTCCTCCAAATTGAGGTGGGGAGTGGAGGTGGAGAGAAGAAACCTGTCCTATCTCTTCCCCAATCATGTTGACTCAGGGCCTCTGTGGGGCTATGGAAGAGGATGTAGGGTGAGTTATTATTCATCCTTCCCTTTTTCTTTTCTTGCCTTCTAGACCTAGAAAAGCACAGGACAATACATCATAGGCTTACAGAACTAGAGACGCAAGGGACCACAGAAGTCATCTACTTCATCCCCTTAATTTGATAAGTAAGAAACTAGGGCCCAGAGAGATGGGAGGATGTAGACATAGTAAATTTCAAAGGTGGAATTTAAATGTAGATCTTCTCATTCCAAACCCAGTATCCTCTCCTCTGTATTATTCAATTCTTCCTCCTTTCACCCTTTCTCCAGCAAGGGAAGGGACAGGAATTAGACGGGAAGGCATTGAATTGATGCTGCTCTGGTGTGAACTAGAGGAGGTCAAGTGAGTGATTCAGCCTTTCAAACCAGGGAGTACAACTTATAGACTACAGCCCATTCACCTCTGAGACCTTGACCTTGGCCAGAAGCTCTGCAACTCATAGGGTTGGTTCAGATTAAAGCATCTTCATGGCTGGGTGTCATTTTGAATGTTCAGAATAACAAACCTCAGTTCAGATCCTCATTGACTCTTACCTGAACAATTGTTGCAACAGCTGCTTAACTGGTCTCCCTGTCCCCAGTTTCTGTTTTGCCAGATTGGCCTTCCTAAGGCATAGCTTTAATCATATCACACTATGCTCTTGTTCAAAAACCTTTCCTAGGTTTCCCATTGCCTTTGAAGAGGGTCCACATATCTGATCCTCACATTTAAGGCTCTACATAATTGCATCCTAACCTGTTGCCAGTTTCATCTGCTACGACTTCCTATTCACTCCCTAAAAAACCTTACTTTTCTCTCTGTCTCTGCTCATGCTTTTCATTCCTCCTTGACTGTTTTCTCTGATGTATGGATCAAGGGAAAGAAGCTTAGATTTGTAGTTAGCTGGGACATGAGATGTAAGGTTTGAATCCCGGCTTGGAGGCTTCCTAGCTAGTGGATGGTATATGAACCACTTCTCTCTGAACCTGAGCTTCCTAAACTATAAAGTTGAGACAATACTTCATTATCTACCCTCCTTGCAAGGTTGTTGGGTAAAGTTAAGGAGTTATGTGTAGTTTTTCTTTAAGTAAGATTTTACATACAATATAAATGTGAACAATTATTTTTCCCTCCCTAAACTCTGTCCTCCACTTAAGGATCTAATTGAATGCCATCCCTATCATAAAGCCTTTCTTGATCTCCCAACCTTCAGAGTATATCTATTTATCCTATCATATTCTTACCTCATAGTACATTTATAGCATCTACTTCGTCCATGCTGAGCTTGAATTTCCCTCTTGTTCACAACTTCCCCTGAGGTGATTGGGGATCAGATCCCACATATTTTGGTCTCTTTGTGATCCAGACTTGCCAGAGGTAATCTGATTAATCTCTGGAAGGGCAAGGAGAGCTGAGAGATAGTCTTAGGAGTGACCACCTAGAAAGTGAAAGAGTCAAATTAAAAGATACTAGCAGAGAATAGTACATACACACTGACCACATAGCTATTTGTTAAACATGCTATAATGTTGATTCTTTTGGGGTACAAGTTGGACTCAGTGGTCATGGTGAGGATGGGATCTGGACCCCAAAAAGGAAAAAAAAACTCTGGACTTTTCCTACATGGCCAAATCTCTGGCATTTGCCTGAGGCTATAATCCTATCAACTAGTCTTTCATTGTAGCTATGCCCAATCTCCCAATTCTCTGTTACCTTTAAACTAGCCTAGCTCTGCCAACTTATGACTTCCTGGCCACTTCCCACCCTTAATCCTAGCTAGGCTCCCTTGGCTAGGTGGTCCAGGTCCCTGGCATTCTATTACCTCACTGTCCCGAAGACTACTCGGTCACTCTTAGATCTCTCCAACAGTCTTTCTGTATATAAGGTCCATCTTGTCTTTATTAAGGGGCTCAGATTCTTAAAATCTAGCCAATAGTTTGCTAACATTCAGACTCCTTAAGAGTCTGCCCAATATGATGGATGTTCTAATAAACCTTGTCTTTGGCTGAAAGGAGGCTTGAGTTGAATTCATTTGGACAGGACCTGTGTGTCATGATTTTGGAGTCCCAGAACCCCTAAACCTCAATAGTCATTGAGGTTATTTACACATCTGAGATTGTGGAATGCTAGGTTTTGAAATTCCAGTTAGTCAACAAATATTTACTTTGCCCTTACTGTGGTCATTTATTGGTGAGTCAGGCTTTTGGGGGTTAGCCTGGGAACCTCTTTATGTCTGTAGTGCATTGTTGCTATGATAAAATACTTTGACTTCTAAAGAAATCCACTTAGAAATTATTTTCTGGAAGTCAGTAGTCAACACAAGCAAGCCTTTACCCTATGCCAGGTACTGGCCAGTGGTAATCCATGGAGATACAAAGAAAGGCAAAAACACTGTCCTTGCCCTCCTGGAGCCCACATTTGAATGGGGGAGACAACAGCAAATGACTTTGTCCAGACAAGTTATAATACATGTAAGTGGAAGGTGATCTCAAAGAATAAGTACTAGGAGCCAGAATCCAGGAAAGCCCTGTCTTGTAAGTCAGATTTGAGCTGAGTCTTGAAAGAAGCTGGGGAATCCAAGAGACTGAGGAGAGGAGTGAGAGCATTCCAGACCATTAAAAATGGTAGCCATGGGAAAAAAACAAACAAACAAAAACAAAAAACAAAGCAAAACTAGTAGTTGTCAATGGAGGGTCTGTCTACTTACAATCCTTTGCCACTTGCCTATGGTAATGAGGAACACAGCTTACATACATATCAGAAACAGATTACCCCAAATCAGCCTCTTGATTTTTAACTGCTTCTTCACTAAGCAACTATTCTTTGAGTCCATTCTTTCTTTAGTACATTTTGGTGCAAAATGCAAGTTGTTGACACAAATTTCTATGGATATTATTCATAAAACTACAGAGTTCTGCCTTGCTTTTACAGAATAAATATGTTCCTGAAAAGCTAGGTGTAAACTGAATCACATTTTAAAGGCCCTAGGGCAATTGGTTATAAGACCACCCCAGGGGAATCCTTTTGTAAAGCAGAAAATCCTTTCCTAATGAGAAGACTCACCAATGGTTTTGTTAAATCTGTTTTCTTAAAGCATGGCACACCTGTATAAGGCTGGTTACCTGAGGGGTGGGGGGTGGGGTGGGGAGGAGTGAACCAATCCATTGAGAACAAAGGATTTTATTTTTCACTTCCACAATGAGTACGTATTTTGGAGCCTGGCACTCAATACTAAGGATAGATGTTATGTTGGAGCCTCAAAGGAAAAGCAAGCTCAAATATTTAGCCCAATTATGGAATAGCGAGTGTGCAACTGTTCAGGAGAGAACAATGAGTCACGTTGCCATTTCCAGGTTGGAAGCAGAGAGGCTCCTGCTTTGTCCTGCATTTCCTGAGGCGCGGCAGATGCCAGCTTCCCTGAAGATAAAGGGTTCTCTTTGTGCCGCGTACTTGGCCTCGCCCGGTGCAGTACGGTGGCTTCTCTCCCCAGATGCTAAGGAGCTTTGGGAGAGGATGTGCCCCACTGTAGCCTGACTGCTCATAGTAGCTGCCTGTTGAGCACATATTTATTTTTAGTGGTAAATTATCAGGCCTTGTTAGACTGAAACCTCAGCGACTTTTTGCATGTGTTTAACACAGCTAAATTTCAGAATTTCAAAGGAGGGGAGCAGATATGCGACATGAGGAGAAATCACAATATTCTTGCTTTAACCTCTCATCAAAAAAAAAAAGACAAACAAAACATAATGTCAGGTTTCTGAAGTTGATTAATGACTTAGAATTTGAACAATTTCTCTGGGTACATAGGAGATCATAAAATTCATATTTGGAGGATTATTCTCTTTTGACACCTACTCTTTTCTTACAGGATGAAGAATGATGAAATTAACTTGCTGTTTGTAACATAGATGAAACCTAGCATCAGTGATTTCCCTAATAGCATGCACCATCTATGACCTCTCAGAGTCAGGAACAATGAAGTCCTGGGAAAAATAAATGTTTAAGGAGATAATTTAATTCACTGCATTTCAATAAGCATTTATTAAGAGCATGTGGTGTTCTGGGTATACTACTAAGCCTGGGAATTCAAAGGGGGAAAGAAAATAAGATAATCCCTACCCTCAGAGATCTTACATTCCCCTAGGAGTGAAGGGCTGGGGCTGCTTAGGCTATGCTTGTAACATAGAGCGATTGTCCCCACAATCCCATAGGAGCCAGAGTTATTGACATCAGTCTGTAGGATAGTTTGTGTTGTGAAATGCTAGTCTAGACTAAACCCATCTAGACAGGACCAAGAACAACAGTGCGTTTGCAGCTAAGTCAGTTTGGGAACCCATAGAATCTAGGCTTTCCTCTTCCCTGTTTAGAAATGTACAGATTTTGAGAAGCAGCACGATGTAGTGGTTTTACCCAATCTCTTTTATCATTCATTCATTTATTCATTTAACAATGGTGAGAGGCATGACTAGCAAATTTTGCACTTAGGGCAAGGTGGGGTTCTGATAGGGATACTCACTTGGGGTGAGGCAGTAGGAGGAGGGAACCTGAGCCAGGACCCTAGAAGTTTCTATGCATTGAAGGGCCTTCAGGGGCGGAGAACCTGTGGCCACAAGGCCACGTGTGGCTTTCTAGGTCCTTGGGTGTGGCCTTTTGACTGAGTCCAAGTTTTACAGAACAAATCCTTTTATTAAGTGAATTTATTCTGGGGAGTTGTATAAAAACCTGAGACATTTTGAAGTTTTTAGGTTTCTGAGCGGGAAGAAATTCTCTGAATTATGAGGTTGTTTCCCCTCCCCTGCTTAAAAGGGGTTGGGAGAAATAGGGGATGGTAGGGAGAGAGAGGGAGGAGGGCAACATCTAAAGTCCTTCACAACTGCCCCTGGCTTACCTCAGTAGACTTATTATATATTATTCCCTTTCGAACATTGTATGTGCTGGCCAAACTGTTTCTACTTGCTGTTCCGAATACATGACTTTCCATTTCCCACCTTCCTGCTTTTCACAGGCTGTTCCTCATGCCTAGAATGGACTCCCTCTATTCAACTCCCAGAATCCCTCAAAGCTCAGCAGGTAGCATTTCCTACACAGGACTTTTTTCCCCCTGTACTGCCCCAAATTATTTTCTGTATACTTTGCATTTATTTCGCTGTGTATGAGTTGTTTCCCAAATAGAATCTAACTTCATTGAGGTCAAGGACTTTTCCATGTTTGTATTTATATCTCATAGTTCCCAGCATAGTGCTTGACACATCATTAAGTGCTTAATAAATGCTTGCTGATTAATTCATTGGTTTTACTTTTCTGGGCCTCAGCTTCCTCATCTATAAAATGAGGGAATTAGTCTAGATGACTTCTGAGGTCCCTTTCAGCTCTAAAGCATTCCAGTAACCTGAATTTAGCCTCAATCAAAAAAAGGTCAGACATTAACTAGAGACATTTATAAATGTAAATTAAGGCAGAGAGCCCAACCTTCACATAATTTAGGGTTTTTCCTAACCAGGAGCTCAGACTGTGCTTAAATTTGTAACTTTTTATCTAAAATAAACTCCCTAAAGCCTCAATAAGGGAATAATGTCAGAGAGTATCATATTATCCCAAGCTTAAAACAAACTAATTACTATAACAGACCATTATATATGTCTGACCACAGGCCAAAGAATCCTCTACATGGTCAGTGTAGTTGATCAGTCTTCCTACCACACCAACAACATTTCAATGAAAGTAGATAAAGCCTCCTTCAATTTTTAACTACTAGCATTGCCTTTAAAAAACAAACAAACAAATAAACCTTTTTTGTGTAGCTTAGGTTAGCTGTACTTATTAATTGATAGGTTTTCATAGGCAGATTAAGTCAAAATCCTTTGAAAAACTGAAATTAGGGGAAAAAATCAGTTACTAGAGAATTCTAAGTAGACCTGTCTTCTGGCTCTACTTTTCCTTTCTATGTAGCCATCAGTGAGTAGGAGGGAGGAGGAGAGGGACAGGAGATGGAAAGACCATGAAGGCCAGATGATGACTTTGTGAACCAAGTCCACTGAGTTTTGAGTTTCCATACTGAGATCATTTGGACACAGCTGAAGATCAGAGGAGTTGAGATTGACTTGAAGGAAATGATTTGGGATTAAAGCAGTGCAGACTTTAAAGAATAGGTTAGGATTGGAGGCAAAATGACCATCAGCACAGAGGCAGCCTGCCTCTAGTCCTGAAGTTGTGTTCTTTTGAAAAGACTTTGATGGGGAAGGCTTCCAGGTATCACAGGAGGCAGATAGGCCCTTAAATCCTCCTGGGCTGGGGCCTGGCTAGCCCACTGTCCTTTGTCTTTATCCTCTTACAAGGCATCAGTCACAATGCCTGCTGTTTGAGTCCCTCAAGACCCTGGGTCCCCAGCCAGGTGTGTGGGTCCCATAGACTGGCAGGTTTGAGAGCAACTGTGGAGGTGGTTATAACGGATCTCTGTCATGACATTGGAAGAAAAGTCAACCTGGACCCTGTGTCTCTGGCAGCCTGTCAAACTCAAGGCTCCATAATGGTAAATATCCTGTCATCTTCAGGAATTCCTAGCTCTTGAAACTTTTGCAGTCCCAAATTGCTGAGATTCAGAGAAACTTACAGAAATGTGGAAATTACCTCTTCATCCCAGAAGTCCCTTCTCCAGTTTTCTTCCCACAGGACCAGACTGAGCAATGGATCCAGAAGAAGTTTCTGAGACTTGATCTGTTTCATATTCCTCCACTGTCTGGCAGACAACTCTTCCTGAGAAACTCTGAGGTCCCTTGGCCTCTAGTTTTAGTGTCTAGACCCTATAAAAAATCCCTTTGCCCTCTTTCCTAGCCTTTTTTTGGGGTGGGGATAGTGGGAGAGTTCAGGGGAGGATGGAGAAGAAGTTCAAGGCCTCATGGTTACTACTGGATCTAGAAGAAACTTTCTTAACTCAATCTAGTTGCAATAAATCTTCACTTTTCCTTGAGAAAGACCAAAAGAGGACACTCATACTGTCCAGGCACTAGGTCCTTGAAAAGATGTAAATAATGAGAAGATTAAAAAAAGACTATGTTCAAACAACTTATGATTTTTTAAAAAAAGGAATATAGATAATTGTGGGGGGGAAATAATGGGGTCCCAATTGACCATGCATATATAACCCTAACATTCCCCCCGCACCAAAAATAATAAAATCTAGTCCAATTGAGCTATCATGTTTTTAGCCAAACAGAAAAGAAAAGAAAACACTTTGATGGTGAATCTGTGCCTCCAAGCTAGGCTCAAATTCAGAAGCTAATACCACCTGCAGTGAGAGTCTAGAGGTATCAGAGGAGTAGACTAGCTGGCTGCAGGATAAATTGTCATGGTTGGGGAGAGAAGCCTGTCTCTAATCCAGATGAGTCAATCAAAAACATCTACTGTGCTGAGCGCTGGGGACAAGGGTGGGGTGAGGTGCAAAGGAAGACCTGAACTGCCCATAAGGATATTTAAATCTAAGCACCTGAACTTCAGTTTTTTGGGCTTACCTCCAGACAAAGGGGAAGTTCAAATTGGAGCACTTGAACTGATTACTTGAAGTAGTGGAAGGCTTGGTACTTATCTAATCTGAGACACATATCTGTGAGTACCCAGTCTATCCTAATTGTTTAATGTATTTAGGCTTATTATTTATTTTCTATGATTTTGAGTATATAACTGTATATAGTTGTTATACTTGTGTGATTACACTTCCCTCAAGTGCAGCAAGGAAGAAGGTGGAATTTTCCAGTGTGCAGTAGCTAAGACATGAGTCAATATTGATCTTTGGACTAAGCCAGGAGACTGAAAAGCAAGGGGAAAGAGGTAACCACCTCTTTGAGAGCTGTAGAGAGCTTGGTGTAATTCCAGAGCTCTCTCTGGTGTTATATGGAGTGCATAACTTCTAGAATGGCTTTTGATTATCCGTATTGGATGTTTAACACTGAACGGTAGTAAGGAACTGACCAGGATCAGGCAAATGGTAAGCAGTTCCCTCTTAAAATAGAATCAAATAGAGGATTTTTAGCTGCTCTTAAAAGAGCCTTGATAAAGGAGAAGAAAAAAAGCCAATGACCTAAAGTCAAAATAACCAGATTTGAGTTCCAGTTCTGACATTTTCTAGCTGTGTAGCTCTGGATCAGTATTTCTGAGGGCTTCAGTTGTCTCATCTGTTGACTGGGGATAATATTTGCATTCCTTACCTCATGGGGTTATTACGTTTAAAACAAAAACACATCTAGATTTAGTGCAATCTAAGTGTAAGCCGTTATTATCACTGAAATTTTTAACATAGAGGAAAGTGGTCAGCCAGTTGATAGCCTCCCAATGGGGAGAGACCAAGAGTTGACAGAGAAGCTGGCAGAATTGGAGGCTGAGTTAAGAAAGGGAGTCTATAGGCACAGAAAAATAAACCTCTTTGGAGGTCTGTGGGTGCTGAAGAGTGTCTATATAAAGAACACTTGAATAGTTAAAAAAGGATATGAGAGATTTCTTTTTTATTTCTTTTTTTCTTTGAAGGCCATATTTCTCAAATATGTCTTTTGTTACTAAATAGATGTAGTCTAGTTTTATTAGTGTGGTTTTTTTAAAACAAGGTTTTGGTTTGGAAATTCATACTATATTTCTATCAAATAGCTCCTGCAGAGATCTTGTACAGCCATGACACTCCAACATTACATTGCATCGTTGAACTAAAATTAAATGGGCATTTTTAAAAACTAGAAAATATGAAAGATAGTCATTGACTATGAGAGGTTGAAGGAACCATAGACATTCTCTAGTCTGACTTTCCCATTTTAGATAAAGAAGAAAGCTCAAGTCTAGGGAGTTGACTTATCTGATGTCACACAGCAAAACAGATTTCCTGAGACCCAGTTCACGATTATTGCTTCACTATTGCAAAAATGACAGCTTTGTGCCTATCAAACCAGTCTGTGCTATTATCTTTGAACTGGAAGTTTCGCATAGAGCTTGCTTGGAGGGGTCTCAAAATGGATA